CGTCCTTCATGCTCGAAATGACCGTGTGTTCTTGGTTCTGTTTCTGGATTTCGCTCTTCTGTTCAGTTTGTCTGCTTGTCTCCCTGTGTCAGTACCCTCCTATTTAATTACTGTAGCTTCAGAATGTTGCTTTATATTTGGAAGGCTAGTCCCTGCAGACACACATTTCTTTAAGAATTTATCAGTTGTCCTTCCTAGAGAGTTATTTTCTTTTCATAGTTCTTTCAACTTACATACTGATATCTTCAGATGGAGACTCTCAGTTCAGAAGAAGCTGACATTTGTAGTGCCCCCAGCCTTCCTCAGCGGAACTTAAACCTTCCCTCTGCAGAGGCATGTTGGCTGTGCCTCCTGTTTGGGCTGGTCCCTGTTCCTCCTGCCTCACTCCAGTCGGACTCGTCTGGGCACTAGACCTTTTGGGTTCTGCATTGAATTTCTGTGTTCTTTCATCAAAAAAAAAAAATTCCTTCATTAAAAAGCCCCACCCAAATGCTGAGAAGTTGGGCTGAATAGGGAGGGACTGCTGGTGAATGTGAGGTTTCTTTTTGGGATGATGAAAGTGTTCCGGAATTAAATACTGGGGATGGTGGCACAGCCCTGAGAATGTATGAAACACCAGTGAGCCGTGCACTTTAGACGGGTGGATTTTATGGTATGTGGATCAGGCCGCAAAACAAGACCAAAACCAAGCCTCCAACAACAAGAATCCTTCAATGAAGGAGGAAAGATTCTGGGAGCTAAACTAAGGCTAGTTCTTAGGCAGAAATTAGCTCTGAACTTCCTGGCCACGGAGACAGCAGAAGAAACCCAGAGGCTCTCAAAGGTCCTAAGGAGAGCCCACTGCTCTGCAGGAGAGATGGACTTCTGTCACGTCTTGTTGCTGATGCTGGTGGATTACACCGTGGAAGCTGTTTCTCTGGGGTTTCTCTCTGTCTGGTGCCGGCGGTGACTGGGGCCTCTCGGTGTCTCGGGAGGCACCCCGGGTGGGTGGTACGTGGCTGCGAGTGGCGCTCCGTGCTGGCTTTGCACGTGTTCCTGGGCAGGGATGCTTTTCTGCTGTTTCTGTTTTCTCCACTTAACCTACTTACCACCCTAATTGAACGGCCTGGCCATGTGCAGGGCTCATCAGCGGCTGTGCCCTCTTCCTCTCCAGACACAGCCTGAGGCTTTCCTTATAAAGTCTTCCACGTCAGGCAGAGACCTGGGGCCATCCGGGTCAGATAGCAGGTCGCAGGCGGCCCAGATTGCATCAGGAGGTCCTCTCGTGGGGCTTATCAGCCCGGCCAGATGTTCCCCGACCCCGTACCTTCCCCCCAGTGAGATGGCTCCTTCCTTGCCTCAGAGATAGACTTGCGTTTCCTCCAGAGAATCAAATTTGTGTCCGTTTGCAGAGTCATCTCCAGGGTGAGGGAACCTGTGGGCCTTGGCAGCTCTTGGCCCACCTCTCCAAGCCCCTCAGGCCCCTCCGAGCCTTGGTGAGAAGGCCCGAGGAGGGGACCTGTCTGCGAGGCAAGGACGCAGGCCTGGAGGCCCGGGCAGCCAGCCCCTCCCTGTTCAGGGTCTCACGTGAACTCTCTTCCATCCAGTGTGAAAAGGGAGAGACCGTTCTACCTTTTGCTTCCCTGATTATTTCTGGAGAAAGACCGTAAGATGTGAAGTCAGAGCAAAACAATCTTTGAGCTACGTGGGTGACACTGTTATTGAACACTGTGGGTTTGGCCATAATTTTTAGGGAGGTGAGGACACAGCCCACCCCTATTCCAGGGGGCTCCCCGAGAGCCCATCCCTGTCTCCTTCGCTGCCCTTGGGTGTGCCCCGGGTTTGGATTGGTGGAGGGAGAATCATCATGGCACTCCTCTCTTTTGTTTTTTTAAACTGAAGTATAGTCAGTTTGCAGTGTTGTGTCAGTTTCCGGTGTACAGCATCATGTTTCAGTCATCCGTATATATCCTTATATTCCTTTTCGTATTCTTTTTCATTATAGATGACTGCAAGATATTGAATATAGTTCCTCGTGCTGTACACACACAATCTATTTTATACATAGTAGTTAATATCTGCAAATCTCGAATTCCATCATGGCATCGCTTTACCTCAAGTCCTGGGTCAGGTGACCTGTCCCTGACACCCTGAGGGTTAGGGAATCAAAGTTCATGGTCATGATGAGGCCTGTGACCCCAAAAGGGAAGCTTAGAGCAGACTTCAGACAACAGGACCACCAGATTCTTTCTTCTGGCCCTTTAATGAGGCATGGGGATGTGGTGTGGGATGGAGGGAAGGACACTGACCTGCTGGCGGGGGACCCTTCCTGCTCCCATCCAGCTGTGACTTGTGCACGTCTTGCGTCAGCCTGGCTGGGTAGCAAAGACAAGGAGATTGCCAACATCTTGTCGTCCTGGGATGTGAGAACTTCAGCCTCCTGAGCCCTCACCCCAAGGAGTGGACCATTGCCCCATTCTGGTTCCCAGCCAAGCCACTGGGGACACAGGGATGGGCAGATGATCCCTCTTGGTGAACTCCTATAAGCAGACGTAAGCGAGGAGGCGCCCGCGTGCTGGGAAGGAGGGCGGCGGCCCAGAGAAGAGCAGGCTCGCACACGTGGCCCTGGTGCAGCCCGGCCCCATCAACACTTCTCACAGGGCTGGGAAAAGGCCTAGAAAGTAGTCTTGTTTGCATTTGGTGATACAAACGTAGGAGGGATAAAGATGTTCAATTAGTCACAGATTCAAAGATCTTGACAGGCAGAAAATTCCTCTGGTGAGAGGGTGACGTCCTGCTCTGGGGTGGAAAATGCCCCGTGAAGGCGAGGTGGGGGCGCCTGGAGGAAGCGCAGGTCTGTGCACTACGAGCCCGGGGAGATGCCCATGCTGGACAGTGAAGAAGCCCTGCAGATTCATTCGGCCTTTGTTTCCTTCCTCACATGCTAGTGGTCCCATGCTGTGGACCCATCGTGGGTTGGGGCAGTTCTGGGAACCAGGTTTCAAGGTAGAGAAGTAACTTGAACTTGGACAGCGGGGTCACTGGGGAACAGCCCAGAGCCTGGGCCGTGTTTCACCGGCAAAGCTGAGTCATGGGTGGGATGCGTCTCACTCCTGCAACCCTGGTGGCTGGGTTAGAGGTGGTGGTTGAAAACAGCTTCTCTTGGCTCCAGAATGCGAACCAGGGCCAGTGGGTGGAGGTGAAGGAAAAGCTTAGGGTTTGGTGTTTGGGTGCCCGCCCTGCAGTAGGAGGCACCCCTGAAAGGGCTGTCTGGAAGAGTCGGGGGCTCCTGGCCCCAGGTCTCGGAGCAGAGCTAGACGGCCGCCTCTTGGGACAGCAGATGGGCTCCTGCGCGAGGCACCCTGAGCCTTCTTTGAGTTCCGGGAGGCTGGTTCTGCGGATCGTCGGGAGGTGGCTGAGGTCCTGGCAGAGGATGCCGAGGCTTGTCAGAACAGGACTCGGGAACTTGGAGCCCATGGTCCAAAGGGTGCGTGGCCCTGTCCCCGGCTTGGAAGTTGAGAAAGGAGAACTGTGGGTTCCAGACCACGTTGCTGCCTGTTACCCCCAAGGAGCAGGCTTGGTTGGGGGGGATGACAGGTGAAGTGGTCCCTGCCCTCAGGCGCTGACTACAATTTGCGGAAGGTCAGGAGAGCAGGCCAGGGTGAACAGCGGGTAAGGAGGGGTTTGCATGAGTGACGGGGCACAGGGATCAATTTGGGAGGAGGGCTGGTGTCAAGGCCCTTGTTGTGCACGTTTCCATGTGATCCTCAAAGCATTCCTGTGAGGTGTGAGCAGCAGGAGCTGTTGCTGTCTCTCAGGCTCTAAGGGGTTAAAGTGACCCACCCAAGCCTTGGCTGGTCAGTTTCCAGCTGAAATGAACACCTTGTTTCATGCCTCCTAGTCCCATGCTTTTTGCTTGAGAATCAGGAAGTTGGTGTTTGCTGTCTGAGAGTACACTGACCCTTGTACAGCTTTGGGGTTAGAGGCGCTGACCCTCCGCACAGTGGAAAATCTGCTCAAATTTAGAGTTGGCCCTCGATATCTGCTGTTCCTCTGTAGCTACAGTTTCCTCATCTGTGCGTTCAGCTGACCACGGAGCATGTACTGAAAATATCCACATACAAGTAGACCTGTGCAGTTCAAGCCCATGTTATTCAACAGCCAATTGTATTTGCTGTCCATGGAAAATAACATATGATGGCTCCCAGGTCACACGTCTGAGCTTGTCTGCATCCCTGCTTTGAAGTTTTGGCTTCAGAGATCCTTTCCATGCTTTGCTCCTGCAGTCAGGATTCTCCAGCAAGCCATTCTGGCCAGGTTCTCTGCCAGCCACTTCCTTCATCGTGTGCTTACAGAGGGTGTCTGTGGGCCAGATTCAGCCCATAGGTAGGGTTTGATTGGCTGGTACTGTGTTGGCCTGCATGAGGTTTATGTCTTTAAAAGACTAATTGCCAACATGTAAAAAGCAAGAGATTTCACGTAAGAATCCAGACTTCAACTTCTCTAGAAAAACCAGACCTTCCCATCTCACACTCCTCCAGGGCAGTAATTGGCTGGGCAGGATGGCAGCTGCTTCCTTAGATGGAGTCGGGGCCCCTCCCCTCCATTTTCCTTTTGTTTCTCGGACCCTGAGGCTGAATGTCGCTGGCTGTTTATCAGGGTACCCGCTACTTGTGCTGTTGCTTTTCTGATACTTTGCTCATTTCGTTCATTTATGCCTCCCTGATACCCATCCTGTGACAAAAGCCCTCATGATTTCTTACGTCTCCAGACTTAGTTCTTCTCTGCTCAACCCCTCCAGGATCAGGCTTAAATGCCAGCTGCTTTGAGAGCTGTGCCAGCCGCAGATTCTTTTTCTCAGAGCGCTGCCTTGTACCTGTGTGCGTCCCTAGTGCAGCCACGTTGTGGGTCACGTCATCTGGCTCCTCCTTTAAAGGGGCTCTTGTGGTGACCAGAGCCATGCTGTGGTCATTGTCTTTGCTGCAGCGTGGCCCTGAGCTGGGCACGTGTTAATGGTAACGTTTGCCATGTCCAATCACACCCGGCAATGATGCGGCCGCCTTATGTTGCTAAGGGTGAGGGAAACGGTTTCCTGGAACATGAAACTAGATTGCACTTTATCGTTACTTTCCAGGTTATCAAGTCTAGGAAGATTTGCTTTTGTATTTAGCTCCTGCAAGCAATCACTGTGAAGTCCCTTCTGTGCTGGAAGGCTCAGCCTTTCTGGAGGTTTGATGGTTTGCATTAGTGCCTTCAGAGGGGCAGTGGAGGCTCGCATGTCCTTGGAGAGGCAGGATCACACCTGCCACTTGTGTACTAGTGAGCTGCCTGGACAAGGACCCCGGGCCCTGTGCATTTTGAGTGCAGAGGGTACCTGCTGACCAGCTAGTATCAATCTGCATATCTAATTCATGCAGTCATATGATTGAGAACAAAGGAACTTTTACCATGTGGGCAAAGCTTAACAGCAAATCTGGTATTTCTGGATTTCACGAAAAAACACTTAAAAAGTATTAAAAGTTGGAAAAGCCATCTTTCAAGAAGAGATTTTCCTATTGTCCCAATACTGGATGGGGACCAGATGGAGCTGATGTGGACAAGGTCTCTGGCTACCACACCTGAGCTGGCTTGAGTAGCTTTTCTGTTCAAGGCAGAGGGTACTTTCAAGACGACCACTGGCACCGGCAGCTGGAAACCAGGCTTGGCTTGGGGCTGGCAAGGTTCGTCCCCTGGGAGAGCATTAAACCTTGGACGTGAAACTGTCAATCACATAGGACCTGGCCACAAAAAATGACCATGTGGACATTTATTTACTTATTTACTTTTCTGGCACGGAAAGATGTTCATAAAGCTAATTGAAAAAAGCAGGATGGAGAACTGTAGATATAATCCGATATATTTTTTGGGAAAAAAACCCATGAAAATTCTATGGACACCCATTTATTTAAGTACATATAAACTTACAGGGGAAAGCAGCCGTGGTGGTTATCTGAGTGATGGGGTGTGGGATAATTTTAACTTTTTTAAATTTGTGCTTAACTGTGCCTCAATTTTGTCAATGCCTGTGTCTTCTATCAGAAAAGGAAGGACAGGGGAGGGGACAGAAGGAGATGCCACCACTGCTTGTCACCTGGGTGGGATGGCAGCTGACAGCTCCACAACTGGGGGCTGTCGGTGTCCCGGGAAAAGCTCGCCACACAGCAGAGGAGGCGGCGAGATGAAGAGATGATAGAGGACTGGATTTCATTTCTGGAGTGTCTCAGCAGCTTTGTGTGGACGGATGAGCTGTTTGGGGTCCAGACTGGCTCCGTCAGCCACCGGATATTAGCTGCTTGGGTGCAGGCCCCGGGGCTTCATTTCATCTGCTCTGATCCCCATTGTGGTGTCTAAGCATTATTAGGTTTTCTCACACTTGACTGATAGCAGTCCTGATAAGGTGTCCTTTTCATAAATTTACAGGCGTTGCTTTCTTGCCAGCTAGTGTCTCTTATCTCATCGGAACCAATGTTTTTGGGATCCTCGCACACAAAATGGGGAGGTAAGGTGAAATGAAACAATACTCACCCTGTTATAATAAGTAGTTCTTCAAAAAAAATTTCTGAATGTTTCTACCTTAGCTGTTACAAGTAATTGTTTTGATTTCCAGTAAAACTTGGACCAGGGTGTGGGTGGGGTGAAGTGGGGGTGGGATCGTTTATTGATGATGCCCTATTTATTTTTTGACAGGTGGCTTTGTGCTCTTCTAGGAATGATAATTGTTGGAATCAGCATTTTATGTGTGAGTAAAAGATGACATGTGGCAAGTGGAAATAATCTGTGAATGAAACGTTTGCTTTGGGCAAGAATCGCCAGGAAATATTTTACAGCAGTTTAAAGTCTGTTGACATTTAGTTTTATTACATCTTCCATTTTCTTCTCTTTTTTTTTAATCATCTTAAAAACTTTGGACAGTCCTCTCCAAAGGGTTTATTTTCATTGTATGTCAGTTGGAAGTTATTTAGAATGTTTTCTTACCTAGTTTTTATTTCACTCTTTCTCCCACTATCATCGTAAACATTACAGTGTCTTAAACACTTCAGGGCAACTAGCCAGAAACAATAGCAAGATGTTTTTCTAGAATAAAACATCTTCTGCCAAAGGTCAGTATCTACCCCAAATGAGACCTTCTAGTTCTTTCCAAAAATGGAGTATGGACTAGGCCGAACGGTCACCTATGACTCTGAACTGTTTTTTCTTGGTGGTCACAAAACCCATTTCAGCTCTGACTGTTACAGCGTTGGAGGGTCTACTTCTGCCCAAACTCCATCCTTCTTCCTCCTTCTGTTTCCTTCAGAAGGGAACGTGCAAAGCAGGCCAGAGAAAACAGGTCGTTAAGATGTCTTTGCAAGATGATTTACAGCTGCGTATCATGTTGTTTTAGTATAGTATTTATTTCCTCTTACAGATCCCTTTTGCAAAAAACATTTATGGACTCATAGCTCCCAACTTTGGAGTTGGTTTTGCAATTGGTAAGTCACATGCGCCTTGTGCCTTAAAACTTTGTTTTCCCTTTATTAAGAAAGAGTTCCTCTCACTCAGGCAGACTATAGTTACTCAATCTAAAATTTCTAGACACTTGGCAGGAGGCTGTGGGCAGCTTAGCTCAAGTATATCTTGCAGATCATCTACAGAAGGGTACCAGCTTCCACACAGTCATTTATTTCCTGAAAACCAGTATTAAAAAAGCCTGATATTTACAGAAGCAAAGTGACTCTCCACTGCTGAGCTTGGGCAAACAGATGCACTGCTTACTCAGAGCACATTTGTTTGGGCTCATATCTGTGCACAGACCCTCTCATATGAGGCTGGGGGACAAAAACTTCATATGTATTTTTTTTCTGAATAAGGTTTGTACAGAAAAAGTAGACTGATGTGTCGATGAACAGCTGTACCGTGGGGCATTTTCACAGGCAAAGGGGACGAGTCTGTAGTAATGTGAGGAATGTAAGTAATATGTTAGGGAAAATCTTTTTAATAGTTTAGATAAATAGCATATGCTCATTTCTTATTTATAATATACGGATTGATCGTGATAGAAGTAAAGCTAAATCTGTCATAGGGTAAAGGCAGGAATTGAATCTTTGGTCCAGTAGAAAGAACGGAGCCCTTGCTGACTCTTCAGACCAGGTTAGGTTCTCCTAGTATATAAATATACACATAGTCGTATATATATATGTGTACTCTTACACATACACGTACATGTATTTACACATGCATTTACGTACACACATACACATACAAGTACATGCACACACATACAGACATACATGTGACACACGTATACACACACAATCATTTACATGTACACGTATAACACAGTATGTGCACATGTACAAATACACGTACATATACATGTATGTAAACACAGATACATATAGACATGTATACATACACATACATATACACATACACATACATAACCTCTTATGGCGTCTTTGTAGCATCAGTCACAATTGTCATTCATTTTTCAGCTCTTTGTTTTGTTCACCCCATGTCGCAGCACCTTGCACATTTCAGGTGATCAGCGAAAAATAGTTGAATGAAAGAAATTTCTCTTATCCTCCTGCCTCTGCTAGGTGTGTGGGTGAGGGACCTAGCATTTGAATGCCCTGCTGGGCGTGTTCACAGCCGTCATCTCATTTAGCCAATCATTTTCATCTCCATGTTGTCAGTGGGGAGACAGATGTTCAGAGAGATGAGGCGTGACGATGCTTGCCCGCCAGGAATTTGGACCCTGAACTCTGAATATGTTGTGCTCTTTCTTGCTGCTTCCTGTCCCTGACTATTCAAGAGACCAGAGATTCTAATACAGGTCTTGGTGGTGGTTTTTGGTTTTCAGCCAGCTAAATGAGCCAACCTCTATTGATTTTAGTTCCCCAAGTAGGGCCAGATGAGCCCTCACTTTCCTTCCTGTTCTGTTTCTTTCTGATTCTGCCTAGTACTTTTCAGCTGTAACTCTTGTAATCTAAGTGTGAGGCCAGGGTGTGGTTGGGGAGGAGGCTGGGTGAGGCACATAGGTTCGCCCACTCTTTGAGGGCAGTGGACAAGTGGGCCAGAAAACAGCAAATCAGGAAATCACCCGCAAGAAGCAGGCTCAGGGTCCACACAGCCCGGAGCCAGCAACACTCTGGATCTGAAGAATGGCCAGTGAGTCACCAGAGTCCTGGGTGCCCTCCAGCAGACAGTGGAGGACAAGGTGAGACAAGGCCGAGAACAGTCCCAGCCTCAGGCACCTTCAGTCTCTCTTGGGTGGAAGATACGCTCTAGGGAGTTTGCCTCAACTCTTGCAGGCAGCAGTGCTGAGAGGGGAAGAATCTTGGCAGGGCTGAGTCTTGGATACGGTCCCTGACATTCAGCCCATTGTGGATTTCCATCAGTTTTCTGTAGCCTGTGTTCCCTGACTGTCCACAGGCATGGTGGATTCGTCAATGATGCCCATCATGGGCTACCTGGTGGACCTGCGGCACGTGTCGGTCTATGGGAGCGTGTATGCCATTGCGGATGTGGCATTCTGTATGGGATATGCGATAGGTAAGGACATTGGCTTTTCAAAACCACCTTTTTTTCTCAGTGCGTGATTGATAATGCCTGCTGAAAATTACTTAAACCTTTGCATATTTCTGCCTACAAGACATTTAGAGAGCTTTATCTAATTCTCTGTTTCCTGAAAGGTCCTTCCGCTGGTGGGGCTATCGCAAAGGCAATTGGATTTCCGTGGCTCATGACAATTATTGGAGTAATTGATATTCTTTTTGCTCCTCTCTGCGTTTTTCTTCGAAGTCCACCTGCCAAGGAAGAAAAAATGGTAAGAAAATTTTAGGATGCAATGACGTGTTTCTTGGTCATTTTAGCCTGGTCTTCTGGGTAACGTCTTAGGCATAGTTCTAAAATATATTTCTGCTCCTTTCTGAATAGAACTCCCCAAACATAAATGGTGGTATGAGTTTCTCTTTAGTTTATACCACAGAGGGAAGCTGCTGCTTTTACTGTATCAAGTATCATGTTTAGACATTTAAAGAATGAAATTATTTTGAACATAGAATAGCAGTCAGTAGAGCTCTATCAGCCAGATATAAACATGGGTAGTTCAATTTAATTTTCTATGCTTCTTGAAAATCTAAAACATAACTTTTTTGCCTCCTGTGCTTATTCCTAAGATCAGCCACCTTTGGGTCTGTTTGCTTTTCTCCTAATCTTTACAGCTTTCAGTAATAGTGTCTTAGTCTTCACTGCATAAGACTCTGGAGATGGTTTTAATGAACCTTATGGAAAAATTGTCATTTATGCATATAGATGTGAGCATGTTTAACCTTTAAATTCATAATTTCATGACTAGAAACATAGCTGTAGGCTAATGTGGTATTGACTATAAAGTGTTCCTCTTCTGAGCAAATTCTGACTTACCGATTCTAATTTGAATTTTGAAATGCATTAGTCATTTTAACTTTTCTGATAAATGTTCACACCTGGTGGTGGTGTGGCTGCTGTTTTTCTAAAATATCAAATGGTGATAACACTCATCTAGTTGAAAGACGAGGGTTTGAGATTAAGAGTGAATGAGAAACAAGGCCATCGGAGATGGTAGTTTTGTGTTGAGGAATGGACGCGAGGTTCACCTGTGATGTTCTCTTGGGAGGACGTTGGAAGTTCCTCCTGATGGTTGAACTGAAATAGGTCTTCATGTTTCAGGGTTTCTTGAACTGCCCTTTTACGCTTTTCCCCAGAGAGTGGATTTAAAGACAGACACAGACCCCCAAGTTAGGTTATGTGCAGTCTTTGTTTTGGGCATCTTTTGCATTCATCAGTTAGTTCAATATATTTTTAAAAAATCCATTCAGCACTGAGCACTAGTCTTATACCCTTTCTTGTATAGGATTTAACTTGATGATGTTGAATTACTCATGCCTCGTTTGACTCAAAGAAGCAGAGTGGCTATGGAAACGTTCCGACGTCCGCCCCCTTCCTCCCTCTTGTGCTGATGCCTCCCCAGCTCTCAACAGCCGGGGCACTTTGTCACACTTCTCAGGGCACCTCTTCTTTTCCAGCCTGGCTGTCTAAGCTCCCTGTCCACCTTTGTTTGACCCCAGCCCGGTACTGTGTCCAAAGCAGGGTCAGAAATTCTCTGCAACGACAGAAAACAACTCTTGAGGGGGTGGGTACAGCTCAGTGGTGGTGTGCTTAGCGTGCAGGAGGTCCTGGGTTCAATCCCCAGTACCTCCAGTAAAAAAACAAACAAACAAACAAAAAACTAATTACCTCCCGCTTCCCCATAGCTCCCCCCACAACCAAAAAAAAAAACAAAAAAAGAAAACAACGTTGTTCTGTTGCCACCATATCAGTCTGATTAAGGCTTAAGTGAAGATTACTTTCAACCCTATTTGACCAGAAAAAAAAAAATCACCTACAAATGCTTCTGTCACTCAGGAGAATGTTTAAGACTCTTGGGAGGAAGGGAAGGTCCACACAGGCCCTAAAGCTGAGCTGTCTGTCACCCAGGGTATCATGAGGATTAAAGGGAGGAATCCCAGTGGATGCCACCCCCGTATCTGGCACATAGTAAATGCTCAATAAATTGTCCCTGGTTCCAGTGTCACCCCACTCTCCTTTCTTGCTCTGACCTAACCTGACTCGCTCGGTCAGCCCGGTTGCCCCTCTGTGGGGCAAGAGCTGCTTCCTTTTACTCCCCAGACCCCAGGCTGCCGAATGGGCTCCCATCCTCACAGCAGCCGAGGTGGGTGCTGTCATGTGGTCGTTCGTGGGCAGCAGCAGGAGGGCTTATCTGGGTGTCGGAGGAAACGGATGAGGTCAGAGGATGCGGGGTGTGCTCCGGACTGGCAGGAGGCAGGCCTCAGTACATCTTCTCTTTCCCTGTTTAAACTGAGGCTCTAGTTCGTTTTAAAAGAAAAGTGCTGAAGAAAGTAGAAGAGATCATCCCAAAAGGCAAGGCAACAAGAACGACAGGTGTCCAGAAAGCCGCTTTCCCTGTAAAGTATCAAAATCTTAATCAGCACCGAGCAGGATGAACCATTGACAACGCAAGAGAATGTGCATCTTGCTGCTGATAATGGGTGCCTGTAATTGAAGGCATCACGTCAGATGCCGTTTGACTGGCACAGTGGCAGCGTTGGAAGGTGGCAGCCAGCAGCTGCCGCTTACTCACCGTGCGGGAGAGCAGGAAGAAACCGGCTGGAAACCAATCACACCTAATGACGAGGAGGGAGAGGGCAAGAAGCCGCCTGCCGTGGAGGAGAAACAGCTGATTACTGCCCACTTGAGAAAATCCAATGCAGACAAGTGCTGGCATTCAGGATCAGCAGTTACCTCATGCAGGGGACGCGAGACCAAGAATAAGACATACGGACCTTAGCAAGTCATTCTCTCATTAGGAAGCATTCTGATAGAGTGGTGTTTGGACTTACACTCTAAATGGAAAGATTGAATGCTGTTTTCATGGCTCCCAGCTCATCTAATCATGAACCAGCTTCTGAGCGCTTGAGTATTTCTTCCATTTGGTTTACTGGATTTCTGCTTTTTAATTTTTTTTAAAAAATAATCACTGTTAACCAATACAGGCAGAGAAAAAAGCCTGTTACTCAGGTCCCTCTGTAAGGCTAAGAAACACCAACTCTTGTCATTTAAGGAAACTGTTCCTGTTGTGAGACCATCGCTTGCTTGCAGCCTCTAGCTCTCAGAATACGCGGTGAGAAAAGCCGTGTTCTGGAAGGGAGTTTTATTTTTCTCAGGTTGAGTTACTTTTGAAGATAGGTCACCTTTCTCACATCCTTCTCTTGAAGTTTCCAGCTGTTGCCCAGGAAGGTAGGTGGTTTGAGGACTACAACTTTCTTTTACTAGGTGACTCTGATGCAAAACTCACTTTTTTTTTTTTTAAGATACTTGGTAAGTAAAACTTTTCTAGCACATAGGCCTGGGCTCTTTCAGTCTCGAGGCCTAGAACATGAATGCTGCAACTGTCTCACTGTCCCAGCTTCCTATCTGTGTTGTTTTTACTCACTTGTTCCCACGTTTTCCTCACTTTGGATAGAGATCCCGACTCTGCTGTGTGTGAGAAGAGACCCGGCATTTGGCTCTTAGTAACTGGGCTTTGCTCTGAGTTCAGAGACAACCCCTTCCTTTTTACTTTTCCTTCAGTTGAGAGTTGAACATGCCTTTCCCCCCACTGCAGTGTGGGGAGCTCTGTGACGTTTAGTCTGGGGAAATCTAAGGCAGTGGTCTGAAATATTGTAAGGAGAGTCTGTGATGATGGCTGGAATCAGAACTCGATCCATGAATAGAAATGTGGAGCCAGGTGTTAGTCCAGCCTCGGGTACGTTTCTAACACAGGAGCTCGTCGCATTAAGGGGAGAGCGCGTCCTTAGTAAGAGTGCTGCTACAATGAAGGTGGGTTGTGTGACCTCCCGGGTCCCCCCCCCCCCCAATTCCAAGATTCTAAGTGTAACTTCCTAAACCGAACCTGCATGCCCTTCTTCAGCTTAGGTCCCCCGCCCCCTCCGCTGACTCTCAGCCCCTGTGGGTATAATGAAGACAGCGCAGGCGGCTGCTGTCATCTCCGATTGCCCGGGGCCCTCAGAGCGCGGGACCCCGGGTCCTCCAGGCCAGGCACCTAGCAATTACACCAGACGCCTACGTGGTTAATAGTAGGTGGTACTGTATCTAGTTTTCAAACTACTAGTCCTTAGCATCAGGTTAAAACCATCGTATCTTTATGAAACTAGAAGTTAATAAAGCTGTACTTTGCTCTCTTTTAGGCTATTCTCATGGATCACCACTGCCCCATTAAAACAAAAATGTACACTCAGAATAATATCCAGGCGTATCCGATAGGTGAGGATGAAGAATCTGAAAGTGACTGAGACCCTCAAAAGTCATCCAAGTATCTAATTGTGTACAACAGTGTTTCCAGTGAAATGACTCATCCAGAACTGTCTTAGTCATACCCTTCTTCCCTGGTCAAAGAGTGAACCACCAAAGGTCCTTCCTTTTCCATGGTTATGATCGATTGCCAACAGCCTTATAAAGAAAAAGCAGCTTTTCTAGGGGTTTGTATAAACAGTGTTGAAAACTTTATTTTATGTATTTGATTTTATTAAATATTATACAGTATATTTTGACGAAATATAGTGTAAATCTATAAATATTTGAATCCAAATCAGATATAATTTTTTAACTTACATTCACGAACACCTGGGCAAAAAAGTTATATTTTTTCTGAATATTGGTAATGAGTGTTTTAAAACTAAAGCACACATTATCTCCGAGACACTTCCAACAATGAGAAGCCAGAAGGAAGTCTGAAAAACAGAATCAAGTAAGACAGCGTATATTATGTAGTGACACTGAATGTTGAGTTATTGAGTTCGTAATTACAGTTGACCTTGAACAACACGGGGCTTAGGCGTGCCGACACCTGATGCAATTGAAAATCTGCATACAGCTTTCCAGTTGGCCCTCCACATCCACCGCCACACATCTGTGGACTCAGCCAGCCACAGAGCATGTAGTACTGCAGTCCGTATTTAGCGAAAGAACTCTGTGTGTAAGTGGACTCGTGCAGTTCAAACCATGTTTTTCAAGGGTCAACTGTACTACCAGTATACCCATGAGTTAAAAGCTAGTTATCTCAAACGTAGAGGACAAGAACTTGAGTCAGTCATCTTGAGGAGAGATCCGTGAATCTCAGCTGGCATTAGTGTTCTATGTAACCACCTACCTGGAAACAGATGGTTGTAAATTATATTGTTTACATGTCATATGGTTGGCAGCAGACATTAAAGCCGATAAGGGTAAAACAGTAAATGCTCCGAAACCAGAGAAAAGCACCCAGAAGTACAGTTATGAACGAGCAGCTTTTCCTTTTCAGATACATACTTGTCTTACCAGATGACAGAACATTGAGGATAGTTGTCCCTTATCCTGTCAAAGTTGTTTAAGCATGAGATAAATCAACATCTAGATCAAATTTTGGAAAAGAAATTTAAAAGGCTAATAGCTGTTATGAAATGAAAAAATCAGACTATAATTACCTTTGTCCTGGAAGTCATCCAAGTGTTTTTTAGGGATCTATTAATTTTGAATTGTCTGAAACTTTTTTTTAGACTTCTGAAAGTTGTTTACATCAATGTGAAACAAATTTTAAATGAAGATGGAGGAGGAATAAAATTATATCTGAATCATGTTAGGAAAACAGGTAAAAAATAGCAGGGTGGTTAGGACACACCCCCTTTCACAGGCAGGAAAAAACCCAAACATCTAAAAATGTGTTAGTGTGTCATCTAGTGCTGTGCAATGTAGCTTTTCTAAGCATGACATTGATGTGCCTTTTCGATGTAACAGCAAATACCGTGTTAGTGAACATTGTCAGTTTACTTCAAGTATTGTGTGAGATATCATTGAAGATAGTGTGGACTGTCTCAAGTAACACTTGTTTGTTCCGTCGTTTTGTAATCGTAAACAAAATTACCCGATGTGAGGTCTTCGCTAAGCTAAAACTGTTCCTGTTACCTTGCGAGGACTCCTCAACCTTGCCATTCTCTGAGAACGTAGCTAATCCTTCCTTCCTCGTTTCTTTATGAAGCTTTTTTTGGGGCTTTGACTGCTCTGACGTCTGGTTTTCAAGTGCATGTATTGGGCGCAAACAAGCTTCCTACTCATGTATTTGCACTGGGCAACTCACACAAGGCTGCTGCTTTGGAGGATGGCTCTGGAGGCACTTCTATGGCCAAAGTTAAAAGGCAGGATTGTTCTCTGCTTCCGTAGGGGAGAGCCTTAAAAAAGAATGTGTTACAAACCCATTCTTAAGAGGGTTTGTGGTTCTCCCCACTCCCAATACCATGTAACTTACTCCTCTTTTATTTTTGCGTGGGAGGCTTCAGTCTCTTCTAGAATGACTGGCAGACATGTCTGCTGGGGACGCCCAGAGATCATATAAAAGATACATGTTTTTCAGAACTGTTTTGAGAGCAAAAGATATTGTATCTGAAGGGGAAAAACTGTAAGCTCTTTTATATGACTAATATTCTGGGGTTGGCAAGACTATGAAGAGGTTTTTTGTTTGTTTTTTAATGTGTCTATTAGAACAAAGAACACACAGCTCTATGAACACTCATTTTTTGAGAGGTGGTTTTTATGTTTGTACCTGGCAAAACAGATACAAAATGCTTAATGAGGTAGCAATGAATATTCAATTCTTTCTTTTGACTGCTAAGTGTATCCACCTACGACATGTTTTAGCTAGTTTACTTAATAAACCTTCTGAACACTACTGTGCCTGTTTGTATTCCTTTGTTAACTAGACATTATCATTGGAATAAAATATGTAAGAAGGTATTAACTGTGGATATTCAGTTGAAGACTATTCTTTGCTTGCAGGCATCAGGTAAAATCCACTCCAGACTAGTTTGAACCATACTTTCTGGCTTTGCAAAATTTGTTTTAAATTGAAATATGTAAATAGCCACATGGTGTGAGTGTGGAACAAACCAGTAAGTTATCCTTGCATCTCTAAAGTTACACTGTGTTCGTGATGCTGTGAGAGGTAACTATATGTAATGATGCAGCTATTCGACACAGTAGGTCCACGGGCCCCTGAAGTTCATGTGTGTGTGTGTGTAAAAAGGATTAGGAAAGCTATTATCTCTCAACTTAGAAATAAAAACAATATATTTATTTTTAAATTAAAGTGATTTAAAACTTACTTTTATAGGACTTAAGATTTTATTATCTTACTATTAGCAGGAGCCAAGTATCTTCAAATTGCCTTTCAAAAAATTTAAATATACTTACATTTAGAATTGACAGTACCTTCAAATTTTTAGCATGTTTTCTCCTCTCAAAATCACAAAATGGCCACACAGTATTTCAGCTTGTTCTGATACTGAAACACATAAGGCTTGATATTAAGAAATGTGGCATATTAACTGATTCTAAAATAATGCTAGTGTTGCTCTGCTTGACTGTCTAACCCATTCATTCATCAAAATACCAATGCAGAAAATACACTTTTGTCTAACTGCTACTAGATAGCAGAGGCAAATCCATAAATCTAATATTTCACAGCATTAAGAAATAATAGTAAAACCAAAATGTAATGCTTTTAGGCAGTTTGCAGAATAGCACTTTTGTTAGCAAAGTGGACTTTGTTAAGCTTGTTTTCGTGGCCCAATTACACCAGGCAATGATTCCATAGAGATGCAGCAATCACCTTTTTGAGATGTATCAAATGAAGATATTCTTGTTTTCTGTGGTAGTTTTTATTTATTATTAGTTTTTAGCTATTGATAACATAGCATGGCAGAATGATTACATCAGGAACGTGATATAATACAACTGTTTTCACTGAAGTAACACCTTACTATTCCCTAGGCTGTCTGGAGTGGTCCCCCCTTGCACTAACGTACAACTGTGATGCCTCTACTGCCTCTCCCAGTAAATATAAAAATATTGCGCTACATTGAAGGTATATTTTACAAGTATCATTAGCAGCATTACTAAGCTTGCCATAATTGTGGTTCTACAGAGTCAAATACTTTTAAAACATGAGTAGATTTTTATGAAACCAGTTTTGCATTATTTCTACAGCTCTTTCAAATGCATCAGTTTCAGCAGCATGCTTGGATGTCACTAAAACTTCCAAGGTATAATCCATAAACACCAGCCACTTACAGATACTCTGCCTTCCAGGTTATCAGTGGTAAGTTATTTTTTATAAGATGAAAGTTGGTTATTACATTGGGTAAATTGTTTCAAGCTATGTTACAGAACAACTTTTTAGCTTTCACTGGATTTGGTGTATGAAGACTTCTATATGCAAGCATGCTTAAACAAAAAAGGAGGGCATACACAGATATATTTTTGTTATCAACTTGGCCAAGAAAGGTATTTAGTTTCCTAATATTTCACTTAATAATGAAATAGCAAGAATGAGAACTGGCTATTGATTTTAAAAGTGGATTAATTTTCTACCCATAAAAATGTTTTATCCATACAAGTCATCTCTTATTTGAGCAGCTCTCTACTGTTCAGAGAACTTCTGCAGCTATGCTGTTGTTTTCCTCACAACAATCCTGTGAGGTAGTTAAGCGTAAGTTTTGTTTATTCCTACTTTAGACCTGGGGAGACTGCAGCGCGGAGCCATTCTGTGGCTTGTCTATGGTTGCACAGTTCAGTAATGGCCAACAGAAGAGCTGCTACTTAAAACTCTTGTATGGAGTCCTGGGTTACAGACCTGGGCCAGAATCCTTACTATTATACTTTGCCTTTTCCTGCCAGCCATAAAAGCTGTTCCATCTAGTTTTCAATTCATGTCAGTTTCACTATACATTGATTACGACAGTAGTTACCTACAAAAGAGAAAAACATATACATATTTCATAGGCATATAAAAGGCCAAAACTTTTATGGTATACCAACAGAGATCATGCTCACATGTTTTCCCTCAGTCATGTGTTTCTGGGATCCACATGACGGACTGAGTATCAGAGTAGATCTTCATTTTGAGAGAGCTGGTCCCAATTCCTATGTACTATGCTGTCTAATTTTCTTTTTTTTTTTAAATGAAGACAGTCTGAACTACAGAAGCATTCAGGATGATCAATTCCTTTAAACCTGTAGGATGCCAGATAAAGCAGTAAATCTATTTTGCACGATTCCTCCCCCTCACAACATTCTCATGCATGAAAATGTTTCTAAAACAAAAAGCCAAAACCAGTTATCAGCAAGATCACTTTAAGAACAGTCCTCTGAAACTTCAAATATCCTTGCACATGCTTTATTTCCTAGAGGAGAAGTGAAGATGAGAAATAATTATAAATGTTTAGAACTTCCATCTGAAAAGAAAGCATCAACATTTTGAAAGGTTGTATTTCAAAATCCAACTGGTTACTGATTTTTAGTAATCTTGTCATCCTCTCCACAAAAAATTCTTGACCAACTGCATTCTATATTTACTCCCTATTATATTTTGTTTTTCAATGCAAGCTCTTCAAATTAATCACCATATTCTTACTATATACTTAAATTGCACAGAAGCTTTAGAAAAAAATTTCACAGAAGCATAGAAAGAAAGCAATATATGTAAAAAGTTTTTTTACTCAATCAGCGTAAATGACTAAAGCTGCAGCATCTGCTTTCATGTTACATTTGGCAAAATCAAAACAAAAAGCACCCCCCAAACCCCCAAATAACAAAAATCCCAAGCAGGTAGAGATGACAAACTTTGTAACACAAAGTAAGATTCAAAACCTGTTCCCTCAATGATTGCTGTTGTCAATTTGGGCATGCAGCAAATTTGTTGTTATAACGGTGATGGAAAAGAAAGTATTTCAAGAATTTGGACAGTATCCTATTTAACACTAATTCAAAAATTAGGAAGAGAAAGGAAAAATAACACAGTGAGACATCACACATAATAAACATGAAAAGTTAGCTTACATAGTTACATAATTAGAAAAAGTTAAAAATAAATTATTAAAAATAAATTCCCAGTATAAACCCAAAAAGCATAGCTATAAACATGATCTGAAACAACCAATTTAGTGATCGGGTCATGTTTTTGCTGGAAAACCACCTTTTCCACTCTAGTTCTTACAGAAGCAAATAACTGTGGAGCAGCAGGCCAAAGTGCATAATCAGAGGGTTTAAATGTGGTTGTATCTGTGGTACTTTATAAGCAACTTTTCTTCAATTACTTGAAAATTTAAATAGACTGTTACACAGACTCAGATGGACCAAATAAGTCATCTGGCAAGCTACTGAACGGCTGAGAGTCTATCAGTTGGGTTATTTCACTCTCAAGGTCTTCTTCTGTATCATCTGTGTACTTGCTTATTTTTTTGGAGTGCTGGTCTAAAGACAGGCTTTCTAAAGATTCAATGTCTTCAATGCCTGCTCTGTAGTGGATCATAAGAAGAGTTAGGGCCTGCAGTCTTTCACCTGATTTAGCCAAAGCAGCAGAAAGAAGTGATTTTTTCCTTGTATCAGTTGTCTCTTTTTCTTCTCTAACAAGGGAATTATTATGTTCCAACTCCTGATCAATTTCATTCTGCAGTTTATCTAGCATGAACTCTAGTTTCTGGATCCTCTCCTCTGTAGGCAATCCCCTGTACAGATCACGACCAATTTCTTTAACGGCAATGAAGACGCTGTCATCCAGACCACCTTCCTTTCTCACTAACTTTATTCCTGTGTTGTTGCCCCGTTTAGAAGGACTATTTGGACCACAGACCTCCGTGTCACTGCCTTCGTTGTCTGATGTATTGGGTGTGTGTTTTGGTGACGGTTCTACTAGATCAGTTCCTGGCTCAGAAAGGCGAGTTTTAGAGACTTGACGCAGATTTAACAAACGAGAGCTCGTATTGATGATATGTCTTGTCAAGCCTGTTGTTCTGTTGACTGACTTGCCAGCTTCAGCATCAACACGAGGGGGCAGGCCTAGGAGGGTTTCCTGTCCTTCCAGCCTGAGGTTTTTCAGGGCCCGGTCTATCCGCCGATCAGTTGCTCCACAAAGAGAGCTCTCAGCTAGACACTTTTCCTGACATTTTTTATGGCAAACATAAGCACAGAACATACACTGGGAAGCAGCTTTAGTCCAAACTTTTTTCTTACAGTAATCACACCAAGTTGGGTTCTGGAACTGAGTATCCTGGAAACTATGTTTATTTTCTGTTAGACCCATCTGTCCAGCAAACTGTTCCTCCTTAGGTAGGGCAGAAACCTCTTCGACCAAATGGAGCTCTTTTTCTTTCTCCAAGTTAGTGACTATATGGTGGTCTGGCTCTCCTTCTTTTAAATACTTGAAGTGAACAGTAATGTCACCAAAGCAAAATTTGTCATTGAACCCCTTCTGCATACTCAAGTTGCGCAGCGCGGTTCTTGTGACCATGGCCTTAGGTAACGGGGGTTCCAGTCTGAATTTGGAAAGGTATTCCATGTTTGATGTAGCTAAGCACCCTAAAGCCACCTCTTCAAGTTTTAAGCTAACGTGCCCCAAACAGATGAGACCCCCTAACTTGAAGGGATCTCTGCACCACAGCGCAATGTTTAAGTACCTGTGGCAGGCTTCTATGTCAAAGAGACAGCTGGCTCTGGCTCTTGTCCATTTTCCTAGCTTATTACGATAAGGAATCTCTGATGATTCCCACATCTGAGGGTCATAGGAACAGTCCTTAGGAGGGCAGGAACTTTCTGAAGTCACATCTTTCGCCACTTCTGGCTTTGCTAAAAACTGCTTAGATGCAGCTGCTTCTTCTACATGCTCCAGATTTT